AATCCTAACCCTCTGAAGTTTGCAGGAGGACACCGCTCATTTTTTATTGGAGCGAAGAAAATGAAAACAAAACAGTTTCATTCTCCAACAAATAGTTTACGTGTGGAGCGGTCGTGCCTTTGCTCACGCTAATTTCATTCCCCAACACACGGTTTACGTGAGGAGCGGTCGTGCCGTTCCGCAATATTGAATAGACAGTAATAGTAGAAAAATCAAGATTCTTCAAAATATTTTGATTTAATATTAAATTCTAATATCTAGTTTGGTGTTCTCGGAGAAAGTAGAGCCAATCCTTTATTAGAAAATATGCGAAAGGCATTTCAAATCGTCTCTGCCTCATTGCTTATAAATGAAGAAATGTAAGGCTGAAGAGACTAAAACAACATTGACACAATGATATAAAACATAGAATAAAACAAACATACTACCCGACTTAATTAATATTTCACTGGTATATTATATATACAATCATATAATATCCCATTATGAGAGAATGTTAAAATCCCTTCTCAAATTTGAAAACTTTGGACAGGATAAAGGTTATCTGATGGATCACGAGATCGTTTAACACTTTGCAAGTGCCATTCAACCCTGTGGAGATCAGCTAGAATTTGTGCATCACGTACTCTCATATCATTCTGAAAAAATTAAACAATTTTCTGATACTTTTAGACTTTCTCTTACCATTTCTCTTCTCAACTGTTCAAACAAATTATTCCAGTTTTCTCCTTGCTTGCAGCTAGAGTTATTAACGGAACGAGAATCGGAAAGGTCTGACTTTGAGGTTAATGTAATGGATTCAAGAGATTGATCAGGAGTTGAAGATCTGAAATTTGGAGTATATTTGAAAGATCTATAAATAATCAATAGGCATTCTGTCATTAATCAGCAATCGAAATCTCTGAAGAAGATAACAGACAACACCGATGACATGTGTATGCTAATTGTTTAAAGTTTAACGTACCTATCCATGTCTAATCCACTGTCCGTAGTCGTTTCTTGAAGGCTTGATTTTGGTGTCCTTTCACTCACAAAGACGTCGGAACAGTAATCTTCATCATTATAAATCAAAACAGACCGTGCACTAGAACAAATGGATCAATGACAAAACTTTCAGAAATCTTACTTTTGGATATTTGAAACATCTTGGCGGGAACGTGAGCGGTCGTCACAAGCTTCAGCCTGCTTCTTGTTAGTGGGGAGAGTTGCAGAATTATAAATTTTACGGAAAAACTTTTTGGTGGCGCGAAGAAACCGCGTGTTATTGCTGTGATCAGTTCGGCTTAATGAACTTTTCATTGTTGAGGTAGAAGCGTCACAGTCGTGAATTGCATTATGCGTATCAGCACCAGCACTCTGAGATCTGAAGAGCAACAAGAATCATCGCATTGATTTTAAAACGAGTAAACGAACCTGTGATGAGCTCGTTGCAAAGATGATTCTAATCTACTTTGCCGATTCGCTGTCAATGAATAGTTTAGGTTATGGTCTAACCGAAAAGCGGCTTTCAAAGTATCCAAAGCCTGCTTATCACAAGCAGCTTCTGAAAACAAACACATGAGCTGATGTTATTCAAAAATTGCTAAATTTTTTCCCCGGGGAATAAAATGGAAATCAAAAGAATGTTTGAACTGACGTTATGAGCTGATGATACCAAACAATCAATCGGAAAATTCAAGACAAATCTTATAAACATTTGCTTCTTCCAAATGATTATATGATAATCAAACGGAACATCTAGCTGTTAGCAGACATAGATTGTCTGCTTATAAAAAAATGCTTGCGAGAAGGAACAAAGCAAACAACAATATGAAAATGAAACTTGTCAGATCAAACGTTCAGTCAACAGCAGCCGGAACGAGAACACCTACCTCGAACCACAAATTCTAATAGCATTATGAGAATCGAAAACTGAGTTTCCAGCTTGACCAGATGCGGAAGAAGGTCAAGTAAAAGTTTCTAAAAAGTGTGGCGATTCCTAAGTTTGCGACAAGAGCAATGGCGAGCAAAAGATCTTTCGCTGACACCAACTGCTCTTTTTTACGCAGAAGATGAGATGAAGCCGTTCAGGTATGTTTCTGTCTCTTTTAAACTCGAAAAAAAAGATGAATGGATTAATCAAAACCATTCTGAAAGCAACAATCATTCGAACGAGCTAGGATATGTTTAAACAACTGTGACTGACGCGATTGACCCATCTGAGATTCAAAAGAAAATAGGAAAGGAACACCTAAGAGAGGGAAGTGCATTGAAAGTAGTTACCTGATTTAATGCGTTTTAACGAACGCATAAAAATAAAGAGAGATGATATCTTTGAGAAAATGTATCAAAGTTGAAATGGATGAGCCGCTGAGATAAGCAACTATGGATAGGTGATAGCTTCAAAAGAACAGAAAGAGCTCAAGAGGGCAAACAGGAAGCTTGCTGTACTCATTCATGTATTCAATTATTTGCCTGCTACGACGAAAAATTCAAATACATGTGCTTGTTAGATCATTCAAAATCGAGAAGACGAAGCTAGATGGTGATGAAAAATTGGTGTATAAGTTCCTCTTCCAAAAAAATCACATAATCGATTAGTTGAGAAAGAAGAAAAGATGGACTATGAGGAGGAAGACAGAGATAAGGGGAGCTTGTTAACGGCAACAAGTTTCAAGAAGACATGAGGAGATAGAGATTTCAAGCATGTGAAACTCAACAGTGATCAAAACAGAATCGATGATAGACAGAAAGAGCAACAACTGCAGGAGCCAAGAAGTGCTGATGAAATGAAAGGCTGGTTAGTCAGTATAGAAGAAACCGAGAACAAGTCGTCTTCTGAGTTCTTCTCGCTCTTTAGATGACAGAATTTTCGAATGAAAAAAGCCAGCCCACCAGTAGCGCGTGAAAACTATTTCAAGGCATTCCTTCGCAGAGAATTTATTGTTGACATAAGAAATTAAGTAGCGAGAAGGCGCTACATCAGGATCATATGAAGAAGACAGTTTTGAAGATGACCAAGTCTCAGAACAAACATTTTTTCGTTTATAAATAGTTCGAAAGTAAGTAAAAGTTCATAAATAAATATAATCGAAGAACTTTAGACAAAGCTTACCTGTGCCTTTTTGTTCTTCTACATATTCTACATATTCGGAGCTCGAGTAACAGTCTAAAGTATCGGCTAGTCGTTGGCTGATGGACAGGGAACTTGGCATGGCACCTGCAGAAAAAATAGATTCTAGTATCCTCATTAGTATCGAATACCGAGGCTTCTTTGTGTTTGAGTCGGATGCAAGCGACTCAGATTTGGACTGCTTTCACCCATTCGACGGCTCTCTCGATTAAGCTTACTTAATCGCAAGTTCTTGGTGGAAAAATTAGTTTTGTCTCGGAGTCTGACTTCGTCAGTTCTGAAATAAACGAAATATAAGCTCATATTCTGAAGAAGAAGATGAAAAGGCTAAAAAAACTAAATAAACAAGCAGACTATATGTCTTCAGATAGTAAATTAATGACAAATGCTTCAGTTGACAGCTGACAAAGACGTTTGTTACAAGCATGTTATAATAGGATGAGAGCGGAAGAAAAAATATAAAATGAGTTGGAGAAGACAAAGAATATAAAATGATGATGATTGTACATACAAGGGTATAAGAATATATAATATATATAAACTCATGAAAATGGTCCATATGTTTGGTCGTTGATTTGGCCAATAAAACTCTTTGATACGTTTAAACATTGAGATTTATGGCCAATTTATGATTTCCTCATCTTCTCCTCTCCTTTTTTTGTGTTTTCTAATGTCGATCAAGAAATAAAGAGGAAAGTAATGAAATAATACTTTCGTACTAAAAAGCAAAATTCGGATGATTGAATAAGGAATGAATGCAACCGTCCGTGCTGTACGCAAATTACAAATGATTTAAATTTAGCGGAATTGCGACCAACCGGTCGGCGCAGAGCAAGATTGTAAAAATAAAATATGCCGTTGGAATTATTTCAGGTAGAAATAATATGGATTAGGAAGCATATTATTATCGCCAGAAAGCTTGGATAGGCAGAAGCTCGGAAAAGGTCGTAAAGCTAAGACATTTATATGATAGATGTCTTTATATAAAGATGCTCTTCATTCGTATACAATGTGCTTCGTCTAGATGAATCAAATAGATAATAGGGAGGGCAAAGAAGATTTCGAGAATTGAAATGAGAAATGAAATAATTTAAGATAATGGAGAAGCTAGTGAGATGACAGAAGATGAACGTCATGAAATGCACAGAATCATTAATTAAGCAGCAGAGCTGACTAAGTCGCACATGTTCAAGATAGCAATGAAACATAAAAAAAAGTTTAAAGAAGAGCAATATTGAAAAGACACTATATGAGAAAAAAAGAAAAAGAAGAAATATTAATGAATGTCTAATAATAAGAGATTGACAGAACACTTCACGCTCTTCAGCTGTCGAAAAATTGTATGTGTGGGAAATGTAACAAAAAAGATGAAATGTGGTCAGATCAAGAAAATCACTCGCTTTCAAGCTTACAACAGCCGCTTTGAAGGTGTCATGTCACCTCTGTCACATGAACATTCCTTTCCACATCTTTCTCCCTCTTCTATCTCTCTATTTTTCTATCGTCTTTCCTTTTTTGATGGAGTGCTCACCATAATATCATACACAACCATATCTCACTCTTTTCTTTGTGGAATTGAATGCTATAAGAGAGAGTAAGAGAGATACACGCCATTTTTGTCAAGAAATTTTTCGAATTCAAACAATACATTAGACTGACTGGAAATAAGCTCAATTACTTTCTCATCTTTCAATATTTGCTCGACAATATCAAACCAGATGGCATATTTGGAGCTTCTTCAGCATAAAATATCAAATATAGCGGCAGTCTTCAAAGCTTAGCAAGCTAAATCACAGGTACAATCAGCCTAAGCTTACGAAAACACATAGAAGGATTATTATTCTTCTTAGAGTTGCAATAGATAAACACATTTGTATCTATAAACTTGTTTCTATGCTATTCTGCTGTCATTAGCAACATCTGATTACCTTTGGATATAATGAAACTTTGTAATGACGTCATCGAACAGCTGAGGATTCTTATTTCAGAAGTTGAGAAACGGCATTACTAGGGTTGCGAAATGGTGTAAATAGTACAAACAACCAATCGGAGAGAAAAAGTGACGAAAGTTTCAAAAATAATGAAGGACGTATGAACAGCTTGTAAATCCGGATGTTAAGTGAGGAAGAGAAGGTTGAGATGAGTGGAGGCAATGAAAATGATTGAAGAAGGAGGCTGAACAAGCAAAAATTGGATGAAAATAAAGAAAAAAAGAGAATTTCCAAGGAAGGAGAAGATAAAGAGAGGAGTAAAGATGAAAATCTATTGTAATTCAGGGTCCAAATGTGTGACTGTTGTGTTTATTATTGGTAAGTGGATTACATAGGAATGAAGAGGAAGTATACACAGAGAGATAGATTGTATGGAGGAGGCTCGCGGCAAAGATAAAGAGAAATAACAAAATAAGAAGAGAAATGGTATACCATATGAAGTTACAGAGGTATATACCTGAGATAGAGGAATACATGGAGTAAGAGAGAGAGAGAGAGAGAGAGAGAGAGAGAGAGAGAGAGAGAAAGGAGGTCGAATGACAACAGTGGCCGAAAACGCCATTGTTCAAATTCTACATAAACCAGCCGAATAAAAGAAAAGTTCAATTCAAATCATAATCATCTAGTAAAAATTTTCAAAAAGCCATTCAAATATTTCCAATAACATGGCCAATCAACCATTCAACCATTACAAAAATGTAGAAAAATCAGAAGTTTTGAGCTCAGGGTGGATTGGAAGCCAGCTTTATGAAAGACGGTGAGCACCGGAGTGAGTAAAGGAATGCTACATCAAATGCGAACGCCAGTGTGTCAGACAGAATTTTTTCGATTTCCAATTCTCAAAATATTGAAAACTAAAATCATTTTTCAAACAAAGGCAGTTTTGTAGAATATAATTGGATCATTTCCAAACCGAATCGGGGTGTGTGAAGTAAACAAAGAAAGTTCTCTGTTAAGAACATATTTGGCGAGGAGAAAGTTGATAGGAGGAGAAGTAGAGGAAACAATAAGCTACAACAGAAACGAACATTCATAACGAAAACAAAGTGTGGAGAAAGTATTAATAAATCTGAATACCTGAGGTTTAACCGACGAGCAGCTCCGGCTTTCCATGTTCCGAAGGCAATGGAACGGTATTGACCACGTTTATTACAATACCAGTCATTCTTCGAGTCCATATATGGATGATGTTGTATTTAGAAGAGAGAAAATGGTAAGAAGCTCCGCCAATACTGTCCACAGCGCACAAGATATTCTGTAAAGAAAAAAAAGAAGAATGTGCAGAAGACAATATTTAACTAAACAAGAGAAAATAACGTCAACTAGAGTCAACTGATTAAACTAAAAGGTCGAAAAACGAGAAGAGAAGGCCAAAGTTCGTGAGAAGAACAGAGTAAAAGAAACAAAAACGACTAGTATTACCATAAATCTGTCATTATAGTGGAACTGATTAATGCTGATGTGAGCTTTTGCAGGTAGTTCGTGAAGATCAAGATGCGGAAAAGTCAAGAACGTCAAAACGTGTGACATCCTCAAGTACCGAATGAACTTCATACAAGATGAGAAGCTTCAAACAGGTGGAGACGGTGCACTTGAAAGCCCAAAAATGCGACAAACGGCAGAAATGTTATTAAAAAACGTTTCAAAAAGTGATGAGAAACGTATTACAAAAGTGATCAAATTGATGAGGAAGCTCAGTTTTTTTGTTTTTTTTCGGGCTTTTGAGAGCATGAAAGTGATAACATTTGAAGCGAGAGAAAAACAATAAATAACAACAGCTTGATGTGGTGGTGGGAAGGAGAGAGAAGAGTTAGTTTTGGAAGCAAATGGGCTAAAAAGGGAAACAAATGGTCAGTTTTAGTGAAATGGCGTAAAAATACTTTCAAGAATGAAAATATACAGAAGAGAGAGAGATAGAGAGAGAGGGATAGAGGTAGAGAGAGAAAGAGAGAGAGAGAGAGAAAGAGAGAGAATTCATAATGAAAATCGTGATCATCTTCATGTAACGGTCAAATGTATTTTTTATTCAAAATAACAAGTAGTTCAATCTGGTTGTGAAACTAATAAAGATAAAAAGATAAAAATGACTAAGAAGAGATGGGAAAGAAGGGAGAAGGAGAGGCATGAACAGAAAGTAATAAAAGGATTAAAAAAAAAGAAATTTAACAACAAAAGAGAATAAAAAGTAGAGAGAAAAGAAAAGAAATCTCTCAACGTCTTGAAATCTGAGACATTCAATTTCTACCACAAGTTCCGTTAGCCATGTAAATTCGTAATAGAATAGTAAAAAGAAGGTAAAATATATTCAAATGTTCTCATCTATAACCAGAATGCCCCGATTAGTTAATCGTATTTGGAGGGAGGCAGTTGAATGGCAGCGAAAACTTTTTTTTTTCACATGTTGTCATTTTGGTTGGAACGCCGGAAAGAGGAAGATGTAGAAGAGACTGGAAAAGCTGATGAATAGAGAAGGAGGCAAAGAATGAGCAGAGGAAGAAGAGCACAACCGTTCTTTGACTAATGAAAAATGAAAATGAATTGGAATTTAGAGGAACTTGCGTGAAAATTACAAGTCAAAGCCAGCTGTATTAAGAGGTCAAATCAATATGTAAATATGGGTGGTTGAATGGATTACAGGGCAAAGAATAAATAAATGTTAATGTTGATAGTAATAACCATGGAGCAAGATGTGTAAGTATGATTGATCATATCTTATGACGTCATCATGAAAGTGAAACTGAGATTATGTGAAATTAAAAAAAATGAGAAATGAAACTTTTTAACGTAGAATTAGCGAACGACAAAAAGCGGACGTTTTGAAGACAAATGATATTTCATGCTCTAAGATGCACTAAATCAAACATTTCGGGTCGAATGAACAGAAAACCGGACAGTATTCATCAAACGCGTTGAAATACAGTCAAAGTTTCTTTTACAACAACGTTTGAATCAAAAGTGAGAGCAGAAAAAACGCTCCGACTAATGTATGGAAAGCTCAAGAGAGTCGGAAAGTAACGGCAAGTATGAAGAGAGAGAGGACGAGGAGAAATGCAAGATAGACAATGATGAAAAGTCGAACCGATACAACTCAATCTGTCATCTGTTTCCGACTGGCAGTTAGGATAAAGCAAAGGAAAAGCATGTGTGCGTGAAGTTATGAGAGGAAGAAAGTATCATCGAGAAAATCAGCGTGTGTGTAAGACTGGATAAGAGAAAAAAAAGTGTTATATGTACCGAGAGAGCAAGGGAGGGATATGGGGAGAAGAGAAAGTTGAAAGTTGAAGCAGCTTTAACAATTTCTGGAAGAGAATGAGGCAGATGTGGAGAGAAATTGAGAAAAAGGAGCTGCGGCTCAGACTCAAAAGATATGTGTGGCAAATAATGGAAAGCACATTGAGTGGTAAAGCTGGAAAGCTTAAGTTCAGATGTAAGTGTGGGCTGAAAGTGATGAATGGAGTGTCGAATTAATCATCATTGCATTGAAAACTTTAATGAAACACATCTGATTTGAACAACAGAAAAATACGGGAAAAACCAAAAGAATTTTGGAATCAGAAGATGAGAGAGGAAAAGCAAAACTGTGAGAGGAAGACAGAGAGAAAGGGAATAGTAAGTGGGCAATAGCTAAACTTCGGTGAGAAGAAGAGGAGAGATTGAACAAGAGACAAGAAAAAAAGTGTGAAAAGCAGGATAAGATGACCAGTAGACAGGTATGAAGCGAGAAGGTATTTTTTATGAATAGGTGAAGAGAACAATGAAACATTTTGAGGGAAAAGGCAAGAATGGAATAAGCACACAGGATAGATCAGTCGAACTGTTAGAGGAGAGAAACGTAGATAGAAGGACAGAGGAGAAGACATGAAAGGAAAAGAGAGAGAAAGGCGCTAATGTCATTGATTTGCAGAGAATATACAAAAGAATCATATAATTAAATAACATTTAAACGATTAAATGAGGTATGTGGCATATAACAGTTCATCGTCCATAAATCACTTGAGAACGAGCTTCGTTTGCATCCGAATGTCCAAAATGATCGCCAAAATTCGCAACATCAAAAGCTTAGTTCGAAAGACAAGTGAAGAGAAGAAGCTTAGAAGATAGATGACCTGTGATAATGTGCGAAACAAAGAAAATTTGCTAAGAGAAATTGCAAAAACCAAGACATTAACTATGAAACGGATGTGAAAAAGCTCATAGGAAACAGTGGAAAAAGCTTTTTTTGTTCTTTTCAATTTGTTTTCTTTTGAACTCTTTCAATGAAATCGTTAATAACACGAAGACGAACGAAGCAATGCATAGATAAAGGAAGATGACATCCATAAGATGTGACAGAAAACTGGATTTTTTTGTTTTGACTATTAACACTTACTTTATTTAATTATCTACAGACTTTCTTCACAAATTCAAGCTTTCTAATATTTAGGCTTCGATATAGTCCTTTTGTAGATGCTCTAAGGATATGAAGACTGGAAGATAGGAGATAAATCTTGAATGCAACCGCTCTGCGTGAGAAATATTTCAAAAATGAACTCACTGGCGGATCAAATCATCTTTGCTATTGTTTCGACGAGAATGAATGGTGAAAAAACAAAAAAAGTTAGTGGAAATCTGTGGAAGAAAGAGAACAAGGTGATTTCGTGGGGTGAGGGGAAGGTTAACAAGTTCTCTCAATGATTGGCTGTTGTGAGAGGAAATGGATGAGCATTCGCATTGCTCCCACTTGCTTTTGAGTAAAAGATGGAATGAATGAGATTTTGTACAACAATCGTTTGACAGTTCATGTATGAAAGATGACTAGCACGTACTGGAAGAGAAACAGAGGCATATGATGATAGAAATGAGAGAGAACGAGAGCACTATGAGTAACGAGAAAGGAGAGTTATTCTTACTAATATACATAATTCACTGGGAACTTCAAAATTCCATCGACAATTACTAACTATTCCATCAAACACAGTAATTATACTAATCTTCCAATTAGTTATCTTAGAGAAGATTAAAAATAGAAAGATGATTGAGTAATTGGATGAAAGTTCAAAAAAATAAAAACAGAGAAATGGACCATGAGCATAAGGCAAACGAGGTTCAACCGATGGAATGTAAGAGAGAGCAAGAGGATGCAGGAGAGAATGAGTGAAGTGGGGTTCAGTCTCTCAATTGGTTTTGGTGCTCCAGAAGTTCAATTCATTCAATTCAATTCAGATATTCAATCATGTTATTCAGATGACGAAGCTTGAAACGCAGGAAAAAATCATACCACAGATCCAAATGATTGCAAACAAGAAAAGGATAGACTTTGGTTGTAAGTACAAGTCACATATATCTTTCGCGCCTAATATAATTAAGAAATATAACAAATAATTAAATTGAATAAGTTTAATGAGCAAATCAAGTAGAGAAGTACAAATGAGACCTTTATACGCAGATTGGCGTTTATTGAAAAAACAAAAAAAAATTTTCTTGTATAAGGTAAACGGCATGCATAGTTTGTGTATGTTTGAGTGTCACGAATTACAAATATAATTCTGTAAGTGATTCTGGAGAAATGTTGAGAAGAAAAAACCACAAACGCTGTTGCATCATCTCAGTAACAGGGATTTACGTAGATGGAGAAACTGAAGGTGATATCATTAAGCCGATGATAACTATCTAACGAGTCCTCTGACGTCAACATCGATATGGCCTAATGAGAGCTGTATTAAAAGGAAATTTATATTTCCAAGATAAAATGAAATTATGTTCCCCAGGAGTGAGCTGGTTGGTTGTTTTTGAGTATCGTTAACTATGCCACATAGTAAAAGCTTTTTTCTTTCATTTTTTCTTTTCCGTACAATAAGAATAGTGTCTGGTCCTGGGAAGAAAAGATTTGTTTGTTCAAGACAAAAAAAATCCTTAAAAAATGGCTGAAACGTATTGAAAGTTAATAAAAACAAATATTATTTGTTGATAGATTCAATTGAAGTGAACAAGAACGTCCCAATCATCTATGAGAGAAGCTTGTGTTACCGAGTAAAAACACCAATTCATCTGTTGTTTCCATCATCATCATCGTCATCATCATCAACGTCGACGACGTCGTGTCATTTTCCTGTCAGACGGTGTGGTTATTCATTAAGAACTGAGAAAGTTCGAAAGGCAATTGATGTCCTTACCCTTACACCCCACCCCCATCCCCCCT